TCGATGCTGCACATAGGAGGAACGAGAACGACAAGAGAAGGGCATATGGGGAGAGAATTCAGAACGTTGATCAAGGCAGCTTCACTCCTCTGGTGTTGACAACCTCTGGTGGGATGGGCCCAAGTGCAAGATGTTTCTACGCCAGACTCATGGAGCTGATCTCCGAACAAGCAGCAGCCCAGAAGTTATGTTACAGCCTGGATGAGATGTCGACTGTCCTTCTCTCTCCTTAGGTCGGCTTTGCTCTGCTTCAGGGGAACAGAGCATCACTGAAACGAACAACAGTTGCAGATATTGACTATGAGGCTACAGTCACTGAATGCCGCATAGATCTGCGGCTCAACTAACTCAACACAGCTAGGATAGCTACTTATGTATTAGGATATTTAATATTAAGGTAGGTAATAAAATGGTGGCAGAGTTGTGGCTTGGGGAGGCTGGAGGCCAATAAAAAGTAGTAGTAGTAGTAGTAGTAGTAGTAGTAGTAGTAGTAGTAGTAGTAGTAGTAGTAGTAGTAGTAGTAGTAGTAGTAGTAGTAGTAGTAGTAGTTGTTGTTGTTGTTGTTGTTTTTGTATACATACATATACTTCTCTCTCTTCTCTTCTCTCTCTCTCTCTCTTCTCTCTCTCTCTTTTCTTTCTCTCTTTCTCTCTTCTCTTTCTCTTTCTCTCTTCTCTTCTCTCTCTTCTCTCTTTCTCTTCTTTTCTCTCTCTTCCTTCTCTCTTTCTCTCTTCTCTTCTCTCTCTCTCTCTCTCAAAGGCCAGCAGATATAAACGACCATACACTCTCTGTATGGCACAAATGATCTATCGAGCAGACAGGAGTTTTGTGTGGTTCTCGCCCTGCTGAGAGATCTGGAGATAGTGAGGAGATGGAGAGATAGTGAGGGAGATAGTGAGAGATAGTGAGGGTGTTTGGAGATAGTGAGAGATAGTGAGGAGTGTTGGGAGACAGGAGAGATAGTGAGGAGTGTTTGGGAGATAGTGAGAGATAGTGAGAGATAGTGAGGGAGTGTTTGGGAGATAGGAGATAGTGAGAGATAGTGAGGGAGTGTTTGGGAGATAGTGAGAGATAGTGAGATAGTGAGGGAGTGTGAGATAGTGAGATAGTGAGGGAGTGTTTGGGAGATAGTGAGAGATAGTGAGGGAGTGTTTGGGAGATAGTGAGAGATAGTGAGGGAGATAGTGAGAGATAGTGAGGGAGTGTTTGGGAGATAGAGATCTGGAGAGATAGTGAGGGAGTGTTTGGGAGACAGTGAGAGATAGTGAGAGATAGTGAGGGGAGGTTTGGGAGATAGGTGAGAGATAGTGAGGAGTGTTTGGGAGATAGGTGAGAGATAGTGAGGGAGTGTTTGGGAGATAGTGAGAGATAGTGAGGAGTGTTTGGGAGATAGTGAGAGATAGGAGGAGATAGTGAGAGATAGTGAGGAGTGTTTGGGGAGATAGTGAGAGATAGTGAGAGATAGTGAGGGAGATAGTGGGGAGATAGTGAGAGATAGTGAGAGAGAGAGTGAGGAGATAGTGAGAGATAGTGAGGGAGTGTTTGGGAGATAGTGAGAGATAGTGGGAGGATGTTTGGGAGATAGTGAGAGATGGTGAGGGAGTGTTTGGAGATAGTGAGAGAGTAGTGAGGGGAGTGTTTGGGAGATAGTAGAAGGTGAGGGAGATAGTGGGAGATAGTGAGAGAGAGAGTGAGGGAGATAGAGAGATAGTGAGGAGTGTTTGGGAGATAGTGAGGATATATTGGGTGAAGTGAGAGAGAGAGATGGAAGAGAAGAGAGAGAAATGGAGGTGGGGGAGGGAAAGGAGAGAGGGAAAGAAGGAGTGAAGGGAGAAGTGAGGGAGAGAAAAGGAGAGAAAGGAGGGAATGAGAGATGGAATTGATGGAAAAGAGGAAGGAGAGTGGGGAGAGAAAGGAGGGAAAGGAGAGAGGCATAGAAGGGAGGAGGCGCTTGATTTCTACTCCCATATTTTACTAAGAATATCACACACACACACACACACACACACACACACACACACACACACACACACACACACACACACACACACACACACACACACACACACACACACACACACACACACGCACGCACGCACGCACGCACGCACGCACGCACACACACACACACACACACACACACACACACACACACACACACACACACACGCACACGCACGCACGCACGCACGCACGCACCACGCACGCACGCACGCACGCACGCACCACGCACACACACACACACACACACACACACACACACACACACACACACACACACACACACACACACACACACACACACACACACACACACACACACACACACACACACACACACGCACGCACGCACGACGCATGCACGCACGCAGCACGCAGCGCGCACACACACACACACACACACACACACACACACACACACACACACACCTGTAATTTATTAGTAGTTTAGCAGCTTACGTGAGTTACCTGTAGGTAGAATATATTGGTATAACGAAATGATATTTAACCTTGATGACGATGGGTTAACCCTTTGATGACGATGGTTTAACCTTTGATGACGATGGTTTAACCTTTTGATGACGATGGTTTAACCCTTGATGACGATGGTTTAACCTTTGATGACGATGGTTTAACCTTTGATGACGATGGTTTAACCTTTGATGACGATGGTTTAACCTTTGACGATGGTTTAACCTTTGATGACGATGGTTTAACCTTGATGACGATGGTTTAACCTTGATGATGGTTTAACCTTGATGACGATGGTTTAACCTTTTGATGACGATGGTTTAACCTTGATGACGATGGTTTAACCTTTTGATGACGATGGTTTAACCTTTTGATGACGATGGTTTAACCCTTGATGACGATGGTTTAACCTTTGATGACGATAATTTAACCTCTGTTGACGATGGTTTAACCTTTGATGACGATGGTTTAACCTTTGATGACGATAATTTAACCCTCTGTTGACGATGGTTTAATTCTCAGTACTTACTAGGATGAAGACAGGTTAATTAATCTACCCAATCACCACACTCCTTCACCGTAACCACGCCCCCACCAACATGACCAACCAATCACAAGCGAGGTATTTACAGTTCTCGGTAAGGTCAGCCAACAGCATACGTGATGTCTCTTCTTTACTGGAAGGAATGTAGGGGAGAATGCCAGGGAGGGAGATAGAGATAGGGAGACAGGAGGTATGTAGAGAGAGAGAGAGAGGGGGAAGGAGAGAGGGAGAGAGAGGTGGATAGGAGAAGGGGGGAAGGGAAGATAGAGAAAAAGAGGGGGGATAAAGGGAGGGAGGGAGGAGGGAGGAGTAAATCAGAACAGGTAATATAACCAATTGGTCAAAGCAATTAGCGTTTGCACCTGAACTCATTAATTAAGACACAGGTGAGTCCTCCGCCCCCAACCCGACCAACCTGCTCACTCATAGTCCTCCTTGGCTGTTTTACCCGAGTCATTGAGTCATCTGATCTGACTGACTCACTAGGTTAGGTTAGGTTAGGTTAGGTTAGGTTAGAGAATAAGTACAAAAATTACATGTGTGTAAGGATAAATTTGGTCTAACAGGTATAAAATCAGGTGTAAAACAGTGCATTAACCTACTACCAAGCGCACAGGTGAGAGAGTAATTAGCGGATGCCAACAGGTGAACTTAAGGTATTAGGGTCAGAACTTATTGAGAGTCTTGACGTAACTTTAGTATCATACTGGATATAAACGTGATTGGGTCGCGTTGTGAACTAGTGGATGACGGTAAAGGTTGAGGAATTTAGATAAAACTCAGGTGGGGAGAGTAATTAACAGGTGAGCACAGGTTATATTACACCTTAAGGGTCATTAATGAGATACAATACCTTCATTACAGGTATTTTCGACTCAGGTTTCTTAATGAACGTTATAATGGTTACCTATATTGTAACATTTTATGAACAATATTGACCAAAATACCGAAAATATTTAGATAATAATGAAGGTGTTTTAAGGAAGGTCAAATTGTTTACATTTTTTTTCTATTGTAATTTTAGTCAACATAGTTAATTTACTAAGTTAATCTACCTGAAATGTTATTGTTTATTAATTTTTTCTTCAGGTAATTTGCTTGATACTACACTCACCTGCCTTTATTTCTCCCTCCCTCCTTCCCTCCCAGCTTCCTCCTCCCCCCCCCCGCTTCCTCCCTCCTCTTTCCCTCCCTCGCTCCTCTCCTCCTCTTCCTTCCTCCTCCCCTCGCTTCCTCCTCCTCTTCCTCCTCGCCCTCCTCCTCCTCCTCCTCCTCCCTCCTCCCCACCACACAGGCATCATATAAAACACTGACTTGGCAATTTACTGTTTATCGAATCCCTGGCAAGAGAACCCCAAGTGCATTCTGTACCCAGCTGGCTCTCTCTCCATTACCAGCTGGCTCACACACACACACACACACACACACACACACACACACACACACACACACACACACACACACACACACACACACACGACTGTACAAAGCCAACCTATCCTTTCCACTCGCCTCTTCTTCTCCTTCCCTCTCTTCTTCCTCCTCTTTTCTCCTCTCCTCTCTCCTACCCCCCTTCCCTTTTTCTCTCCCCTACCCCCTTCCTCATTCCTCTCTCCTCCTCACCAATAAAGATTCGAATTAATGATCTTCCCAACACAATGTCACTTAAATCCACTTACATGTCTGCTTAAATATCTACTTAAATGTCCACTTAAATCCACTTAAAGGAAAAGTGGACATATAATTGGATATCTAAGTGGATATTTAAGTATACATGTAAGTGGATTTACATATTTCAGATTTATAAGTAGGGGTTACCAGCCTTTTAAAGTAATGCCCTCACTTAACGGAATATGTCTCACTTAACGGAAAACTCCTCACTTAACGGAATATGCCTCACTTAACAGAAAACTCCTCACTTAACGGGAATATGTCTCACTTAACGGAAAACTCCTCACTTAACGGAATATGCCTCACTTAACAGAAAACCCCCACCTGTAAGTTACCGTTGTCATACCTGTACCTGTACCTGCCCCACACCTGCACCTGCCCCTGCACCTGCACCCTGCCCCCAGCACCTGCACCTGCCCCAGCACCCCACCTGCCCCAGCACCTGTACCTTCCAGCACCCACTCCGTCCCCAGCACCCACCTGCCCCCGACCCGCACCCCTGCACCCTGCACCCGCCCCAGCACCCCACCCGCCCCAGCACCCACCCGTCCCAGCACCCACCCGTCCCCCTGCACCTGCACCCGCCCCACCTGCACGCCCAGCACCCCACCCGCCCCTGCAACTGCACCCGCCCCAGCACCTGCACCGCCCCAGCACCCACCCGGCCCCAGCACCTGCACCTGCCCAGCACCTGCACCCCAGCACCCCACTCCATCCCAGCACCTGCACCTGCCCAGCACTGCACCTGCCCCAGCACCTGCACCCGTCCCAGCACCCACCCGGCCCCAGCACCTGCACCGTCCCAGCACCCACCCGCCCCTGCACCTGCACCCGGTCCCCAGCACCTGCACCTGCCCCCTGCACCTGCACCCCGCCCCAGCACCTGCACCCGGCCCCAGCACCCCACCTTCCCAGCACCTGCACCCGTCCCAGCACCACCCGCCCTGCACCTGCACCAGCCCCAGCACCTGCACCTGCCCCTGCACCTGCACCCGCCCCAGCACCCACCCGGCCCCAGCACCTGCACCCGGCCCCAGCACCTGCACCCTCCTGCACCTGCACCTGCCCCCAGCAACTGCACCGCCCCTGCACCTGCACCTGCCCCAGCACCTCCACCCCAGCACTGCACCCGCCCCAGCACCTCCACTCCGCCCCAGCACCTGCACCCTGGCCCCTGCACCTGCACTCCGTCCCCAGCACTGCACCCGCCCCAGCACCTCCACCGTCCCACACCGCACCGTCCCAGCACCCACCCGCCCCAGCACCCACCGTCCCTGCACCTGCACCCGCCCCTGCACCCTGCACCCGCCCCAGCACCCCACCCGGCCCCAGCACCCACCCCAGCACCCACCCGCCCCTGCACCTGCACCCGCCCCTGCACCGCACCTGCCCCAGCACCCACCGTCCCCCACCTGCACCCGCCCCCAGCACCTGCACCTGCCCCAGCACCCACCTGTCCCAGCACCTGCACCCGCCCAGCCCCACCACCCGCCCCAGCACCCACCCCAGTCCCAGCACCTGCACCCGCCCCAGCACCTGCACCCGCCCCAGCACCCACCTGCCCCAGCACCCACCCGCCCCAGCACCTGCACCCGCCCCAGCACCCTCACTCCGCCCCCTGCACCCACCCGCCCCAGCACCTGCACCTGCCCCTGCACCTGCACCCGCCCCCAGCACCTGCACCTGCCCCAGCACCCCACCTGCCCCAGCACCTGCACCCTGCCCCAGCACTCCACCTGCCCCTGCACCTGCACCTGCCCCCAGCACCTGCACCTGCCCCCTGCACCTGCACCGCCCCAGCACCCCACTCTGTCCCAGCACTGCACCCGTCCCCAGCACCTGCACCCGCCCCCTGCACCCACCCGCCCAGCACCGACCGTCCCTGCACCTGCACCCGCCCCAGCACCCTCCACCGTCCCAGCACCTGCCCCAGCACCCCACCCCGTCCCAGCACCTACCTGCCCCCTGCACCTGCCCCCAGCTGCACCCCAGCACCCCACTGGCCCCAGCACCTGCACCCGCCCCAGCACCTGCACCGTCCCCTGCACCTGCCCCCAGCACCTGCACCCGCCCCAGCACCCCACCGTCCCCAGCACCCCACCTGTCCCCAGCACCACCTGCCCCTGCACCTGCACCCCCAGCACCTGTACCTGCCCCAGCACCTCTACCCGCCCCAGTACCCGTACTCTGCCCCAGCACCTGCACTACCTGCCCCAGTACCGTACCTGCCCCCAGCACCCAGCACCTGCACCTGCCCCAGCACCTCCCACCAGTACCACCATTACACGATAACTCCTCACCAGACGACGAAGACAATCAGAAAGTTCTAGAAAGTCTATATATTCACCCAGGTCAAAGTTTCTCATTAAAACTTCACTACTATTACTTTTACTTAATCGTATCACCTTTTTTAAGACACTTTTCCGAGACGTTAGAAAAAACACAAAGATTAAAGTGTGTTTTGTAAGTATAAGTGAAAGGTGGTAGAAAGGTCAAGTCACTTAAGAGAGAAAGCTTTAACTGGAGAAAGTATGTATGTGGTTAAGTTAGGTTTTGGTGAATGTATTAATGATTTTATTTAACTTATAATAATTGTACCACTACCACCATCACCACCATACCATCCTGTACAGTCCCCACCACCATACAGCACCACACCACAGCACCACACCACACACCCCACCACCACCACACACACACCTCCCACCTCCACCTCCCCACCACCACACCCCCCCCACCTCCCACCTCCCACCACCACACCCCCCACCACCCCCCCACACCTCCCACCCTCCACACACACACCCCACCACCACACCCCACCACCCCACCTCCACCTCCACACCATCACACACCCCACCACCACACCCCCACCACCCCACCTCCACCCCACCACCACACCCCCACCACCCCCCACACACCCCCACCTCCACCACACACACCCCACCACCACACCCCCACCACCCCCCCCACTCCACACCACCACACCCCCACCACCTCCACATCATCATCACACATCCCCACCACACCCCCACCCCCCACTCCCCACACCACACACCCCCACTCCCACCTCCACCTCCTCTCCTACCCACCATCACACAACCCCACCACCAACCCCCACCTCCACCATCACATAACTTCATCACACCCCCCACATCCACCACTCACTCCCCACCATCACACATCCTCTCTCCTCCCATCATCCTACCTCGACGCAGGAAAGGTTTAATATAAGCAAAGTTCGTCGGGCACTGTCAGGCCAGGGGGGTAAATATGGGCAATATGCTGTTCTCCCAAATTGGTGCGCGGCTGTAAACTGTGCTGTCCTGTTTAATTACAGTATGGTAAACTGGCTGCCATTATTTACAGTGGCACCTGACAGAGTGGAGGTGCGCTGTGCTAAAGGCTGTGCTGGGATGTATTATGATGGTCTGGGCTGTTCTGTGCTGGGCTGTGATAACTGTGATGGGCTGTTATGGGCTGGGATGCATTGATAGGCTGGGATGTGCTGTGCTGTGCTGTGCTGTGTCGAGGATGCTGTAGAGGCATATAACTTGGGTAATTCAGATTCTAATATTGTTTCTAATTCAATTTTCATTCTAATTCTAACACACACACACACACACACACACACACACACCAGAATCCACCTCCCAGCCTCCCTTCCCTCATACCCCCCCACCCCCTACCCCCCCACTACCCCCACCGCCCCACCACACCAGACATCACGCAGTTCACCCCCCAAAAAATAACTCATCAAACAAACACAGAAACAACATAATTTCACAAAAATTTTTATATGTTTGTATTTATTTGTAATCAACTTTTAATATCAGAGAGAGAGATGAGTAGGCTAATTAACATAGTGTTTTATTGATATTAGTACAGAGTTTAATTACCATGTGATTTGAGAGGCCTATTTCCTGGTACAGGTGTTGTGGATGATGGCGGTGTTAATGACAGGTGTTGTGGATGATGGCGGTGTTAATGACAGGTGTTGTGGATGATGGCGGTGTTAATGACAGGTGTTGTGGATGTTGAGGTGTTAATGACAGGTGTTGTGATGATGTGTGTTAATGACAGGTGTTGTGGATGATGGAGTGTTAATGACAGGTGTTGTGGATGATGGTGGTGTTAATGACAGGTGTTGTGATGATGTGGTTAGACAGGTGTGATATGGAGTTATGAGTTATGGATATGGCGGTGTTAATGACAGGTGTTGTGGATGATGGAGTGTTAATGACAGTGTTGTGGATGATGGATGTTAATGACAGGTGTTGTTGATGATGGAGGTGTGACAGGTGTTGTGGATGATGGAGGTGTTAATGACGTGTTCACAGGTGTTGTGGATGATGAGGTGTTAATGACAGGTGTTGTGGTGATGGAGGTGTTAATGACAGGTGTTGTGGATGATGGCGGTGTTAATGACAGGTATTGTGGATGATGGAGGTGTTAATGACAGGTGTTGTGGATGATGGAGGTGTTAATGACAGGTGTTGTGGATGATGAGGTGTTAATGACAGGTGTTGTGGATGATGGAGGTGTTAATGACAGGTGTTGTGGATGATGGAGGTGTGACAGGTGTTGTGGATGATGGAGATGTTAATGACAGGTGTTGTGGATAATGGAGGTGTTAATGACAGGTGTTGTGGATGACAGGTGTTAATGACAGGTGTTTGTGGGTGTGTGGATGATATTTAATATAATATAAATCCATCAATCTATCTATCTATCTATCTATCTATCTATCTATTCAATCATAACACACACACACACACACATACACACATACATAAAATATACCAAACAGACATACACACAGACTGAATCATACACTATATTTGGCTATCAATCACCAAGGTATCAGGAAGATAACATATCACCAACTGATAACAAGTTGACGAAAGGTAAAAAACCACCTGAGTGTATTCCAGGTGTATGATAATTAATTAATGTTTACTGAATATTTAACAAGGTAGAACAGGTGAGGTGAGGAAGATATTATGGAGGTAGAATGGTTGAGATAATGAGGTGAGGTGGGAGGTGGAGGTGAGGTGAGGTGAGGTGGAGGCGAGGTGAGGTGAGGTAGGTGAGGTGAGAAGAAGATATTATGAGAGGTAGAATGTTGAGATAATGAGGTGAGGTGAGGTGAGGTGAGGTGAGGAGGTGAGGTGGTTTGAGGTAGGTAATAATAATAATAATAATAATAATAATAATACAATAAAGAGAATAATAATAATAATAATAATAATAATAATAATAATAATAATAATAATAATAATAATAATAATAATAATAATAATAATAATAATAATAATAATAATAATAATAGTAATAATAATAATAATAATAATAATAATAATAATAATAATAATAATAATAACAATAATAATAATAATAATACTAGATTCTTGGAGAGTACAAAGAAGAATGACAAAATGATCCATAATATTAGAAACCTTCCATATGAAGAAAGACTGAAAGCTTAGGCCATACATTCATTAGAGAGGCGTAGAGTTAGGGAGATATGATAGAGGTGTACAAGTGGGGTGATTAATAAGGGTAAATGTAAGATGTCGAAGCTCAGTAATAAATGAAATAACTCAGGAACAAATGGTCTTAAATTAGATAAATTCCTGATTCAGAAAGGATATAGGCTAGCACTGGTTTGGTAATAGAGTTGTGGATATGTGGAACAGACTAATGAGTGCTCATAGTAGGGATCGGGGACGCTAGGGAGCTTCAAGACGAAGTTGGATAGGCACATGGAAGTGTTGGATGGTGTGAAAG